CCATTCTCATTCCTCGCTTCTCTCACACCATCCTTCCCAAGGATCAGCCTGGCTTCCTCAGCTCAGGGTCTCCCCTCCTGCTTTCCTCTTCTCTTCTGGTCCGCCTCTGCCCCCAGCAGCTTCTTCATGCCCTTTCCACTGTAAATCCACCCAGACAGGCCTGCTAGCTCCCTTGTTTCTGGTCCTCATTACCACCATCAGCCTAATAAAGGCTTAGGAGCAGATCCCCTTCCAAGGAGAGGAAGAAACCACCACTATTCTTAATCACTAGTTGTCTCCAAGGCCAATGATTCTGAGAGGCACAGGGCTCCGGGAGCCCTGCAGGAGCCAGGGATGGAGGGGAGGTGGTGACAAAAGTACCCAGCCTTTATGGTGCCCCACTCCATAAAGGCACTGACCCTAAAGTTGGGGGGGGGGGAGCAGCACAGTTTACCGAGCTAAGACACAGTCCCTGCCTTTGGTGCTGACCACTGGGCAGCACTGGGGGACACAGCTCTGTGTCCACTCCCCCAAAGACAGGCTGCTCAGGCTCTCAGCCTTGGCTCCACATTCCCATCACTTAAGGGGCTTTAAGAAAACATGGATTCCCTGGGCCCTACACCACAGATTCTGATTTAATTGGTCTGGGTGAGGCCCAAGACATCTAGAGGCATTGGCTATTTTAAAAGCTCCCCAAGTGATTCTAATGTGCAGCCAGGGATGAGATCTATTAGGCTAATCAATTGTTTGGGAGATCACCCCACAGCCTAGGGGCTCCAAGCCACAGCCTCAGGAACAGCAACTTCCCTCCCCTCCACACACACACACACACACACACACTTCTCACCTTCTTGATCCACCAGGAAGAAGAAGAGCTGGGCCAAGACTTTGGCTAGCACAGAGTAATGTAAGACTGGAGTTGAAGCCTTATCATTTGTCATTCAATAACTATTTAATGTCAGTGTTGTGAAAGAAATGACAGAAACTGACTGAGGGATCCAGTTTAGATTGGGCATCAGGCCTTTCTGAGGAGGTGACATTTAAACCAAGGCCTGAGTGACAGGATGATGCCTGCTGTGTGAAGCTGCTATGACAAGCAGAGAGAACAGAAGGTGCAAAGGCCCTGCAGAGGGAGCAAAGGGGCACATGGCTGGAGCATAATTGATGGAGAAGAGACAAATGGGATGAAGTCTGCGAGCTGAGCAGGGTGCACCACAGAGGCCTTGGAACTGTGGTAAGGAAGCAGCTTTCATTCTCAGTTCGACAGGAAGCCCCTGGAAGGCTTTCAGGAGGGAATGACATGACCTGGTTTCTGTTTTTAAGAGGCACTCTGGCTATGATGGGGAAGGTGGCTGGTGGGGAGCGGGATGGACAGAGGCGAACAGTCCACTCTAGCAGGGTGGCGGGCAGGCACCCCTGTGCTCACACCCTGGGGGGAAGATGAGTGCTAGCTCCTCTGCCGTGGGGAATGTAGGTCAGGCAGCCTGGCTCCCTCAGCCAAGCCGCCAGTGCAGCCCCCTCGCCTGTCAGAGAAAAAAGCCGACTCTGAGATGTGTGGGCTCAACTGAGAGATCAGTGTTGGCAGCGGAGGCAGAGATAATAGGCTCCCAGGTGGAGGGATCTGGGCCACTGCCTGGAGTCCCTTCGTTGCCCTTCCCAGGGTGCCTCTCTTCTCACCCCTCTACCCCTTCAGGATCTCCCTGGCAGGCCAGCCCAGGGGCAGGCCTTGACATGTACCTGGAGCAGGCAGCTGTATTTTAAGGTCAGGGCTCAGACCTCTAAATAAACCATAAACACAGCCAGCTTCCCAGGTACAGAAGGAGGGAGACGGCTCCGTTTCTCTTCAGTGCAGTGACTGGGGAAATAAACAAGTGGCTCTGCCTGTCACATACATTTAACCCTCTGCAAAGGCATCTGTCAGACCCTCAGAGCTTCTGCCTCGGCCTTTCCAAGAAATAAATGATGTGCCCCAAACTCGGGCTTCTCCTTGTGGCCTCCAAGTTCAATTTTCTGTTCAAGGAAAGGCAGACACGGAAGCCTGTTCTTGACCCAAGCCTCAGGAAATGCTAACAAAGGGCAAGGACAGATGCTGGGCCCCCCAGTGGCTGGGGGCATGTTGGCACAGCTCTGTCAGCTGTGGAAGGGGACAAGGGAGAAGGAGATAGGGAGGAAGGGAGGATAAACAGAAAGGAGGGAGGTGGATGGAGCTGGCAATTATAGAGAGCAGAGCTGAAATGGGTATGGAGTGACCCCTCTTAGAGAGCCAGTGAGAGTGAGAGACCCAGGGGGCCATGCAGAGCCCTTGTGGTCTGTGGTAGTGGGGCCGTGGGTGTGGAGAAACAAAGCGAAACAGAAGGCAGAGGGGGCTCTCTCTCCATGGGTGAAATCTCCCATGACCACAAAGGAAGAAGGAATGAGCAAGAACAAAAACAGACAGGAAGAGAAGGAGGCAGGCAGATAAATAAAGCAGGGGAGGGAGGAAACCCCCAGAGCCATCAAACTCAAGCATTTCTGGGGGGGAGGGACCCTCTGAATGCAGCAGGAAAAGGTGATTTATGCATTGAGCTAAGCCAGGAGAAGAGTCAGGAGTGAGGCTAAGGGACTGGGTGTGGCTGGGAATGATGGCCATGCAGCAGAAGCGACAAAGACATGTGGCAGCGAAGCAGAAGGGAGGCTGGGAGGCTGTAAGCTTTGGGGTGGCCAGAAGCCAGGCAGTGCATAGAGAGAGAATGAGGGTGAAGGGCTGGATAGAGAGAGCCGCAGCGGCCACGAAGCCTGCCACACAGGTGCTGCTGCTAAGGGCACCTGCAGCAAGGAGACCTCACAGCCCCCGCCACCCCCAAGGTGTGGGAGGGGGCGGAGAAAGAGTGAAAAAGGCAGCAACACAGTGATTACACATGCACTTAAACACATATACACACTTACTCCCTCAGCAAGGGCTGGGACACTCTCAGCAGCACTCCCATGGGGATAAAAGAGACCCAGGGGACTCCAGACTGCAATCCAGCCAGGTGTGGGGAGAGCCACAGACTTCAAATGATAGATCCAACAGACCCAGACAGGGAATGAGGTGAGCATACTTCAAAACACAGACCTCGAAAGAAACAGAGAAGGAATCAAAGACAATAAATACTGAATTCTCTGTCTATCTGTCTGTCTGTCTGTCTCTCTGTCTCCCCATACCAGCAGACTTGCCCTTCTCTGAGAGCATCAGACCCAAGAGAAGAGCATCAGGCCCTCACCACCTACTCTCCCCTCCTGTGTGTGCCTGCCTTCATGGAATCCCCTGCACTTGCAGAGGTCCGCAGCGACATGGGTGAGGACCCTTTCAGCAGGCAACACCCCCCACACACACCCACACGTACCCAGAGGCAGGCAACTGGCACATGGACAAGTCTCCTCTAAGTGAAGCCAGGCTTGCATCCAGGAGCCCCCACATGAAGCCGGATCAAGGGTCCACCCCTGGCCTCCAAGAAGCTCCAAAGCACTTGAGCTCTGTCTAGCTGGGATGGCATTGCCAGGGCCACATAAACAAAGGATGTGCTTCCTACTTTGGCTTTGGTGGCTCCCCTGTGAGTCCAGAGCCACACCACAAGGGCTTTCCTAGGACTTCTGACCAGGACCTGCAGCTCACTAGCTCCAAGCTAAGCTCAAAGTCTTTGCAAATGCGGGACCAGGCAAAAGGGCTGGGAGACCAAGGGGAGGGGACTATGGGTCTATTTCTCAGCTGGGGTCCAGCAGACAGTGCCTTAAGGAACAATCCTAGGAGACCAAGAGCTCAGATCTGGGCCAGAAGTCTGCTGCGGAACTGGGACACAGGTACTAAGAACATCCACACTGGACTCACACCCCACAGTCCCCACTGTGTCCACACACACACAGCTATTTCATTACCCACACGGACCCTGTCACAATCCCACTGAATACTACACTGTATATAGCATGCTGTACACACAGCTCACAGTCCCCCACTGTGTACACACCACACTGACATGCCCTAGATTCCCCTGTTCTGACACACTGTATGTATCTCCCCACCCCGCAGAGGTCCCATTTTTATCAACGCTGCCCACAGACACTGAAAAGTCCTACTGTCCTTAGACTACACACACACACACACATACACACAGTTCCCTGCACTCCTCCAAAGCCGCATCCCACACCCGCCATGTACACAGATGCCCATACAGAGCTCCCAAACAGAACTGCGTGACTCCCTCCCACACCGGTGGGGCCTGCACTCCCGCCCCTAGCAAGCTAAGCTGAGCTCAACCTCAGGCTTCCCTGCTCCCTTTTCTCCCCTCCTGCTGCCTTTCCCCAAAACTGCTCTCCCCCCTCCGCTTCAGGAAACTTTTCATCAGGTCCCTAAAAGAGGAAACCCGGAGTTTCTCCTGCCCTGCCCTTCCCCCGGACTCGCACAAGCCACCCTCATTCCCCAGCCCGGCTCCCATCTGAGACCCACTGGGGAAAGGTCACCATAGGCAATCCCTGCCTGCGCCCTGGGAGAAGAGAAGGTGGCAAAAAGAGCTGTCACCAGGGAATGGGTGAGGGGTTGGGGAAGGCGTCGGCTGTGTCGAGCTGGGGGCGCAAAGGGGTCGCCGTGACGTGCCGCAGGAGAGCAGAAAAGCCAAGGCGGCAGCTGTGGCGGCTTCGACCGGGTCTCGGGCGGCTGCCGCGTCCGGGACTGAGACGCGCGGAGCTGTCCGTTCAGCACCACTGCGCCGCGCCCAGGCGCACCCGCTCGGCTCCCGCTCCGGCTCCCGGGGGCGCCTGCGGTGCGGGCTGTTGTCTCTCGTGGGGACTGAGGAGCGCGCGGATCCAGAGAAAGGAGCTCAGGGAGCGTCGGGGCCACGCAGCCACCTGTGAGCCTCCCGCAACTGCAGGCGGAGGCAGCATCTCTGGCCGGAGACAGGAGGAGACGCTCGGCGGACCCCGCCCGCCAGCCCGCCAGGCGCACACACAGGCGCACACACACTCGCACCCGCGCGCACACGCACAGCCAGGCGGCGGCGGCGGTGGCAGCGGCGGCGGCCGCAGCGATGCTCGCCAGCAGGTCGGGGAAGTTTCCCGCCGGCCTCAGCCGCGGGCCCCCGTGCTCGCAGGTAAGCGTTTCCAGAACGCAAAGGGCGAGCCTGGGCAGCTCCGCTGGGTAAGGCGCGGCGCACGCGGATCCGGGGCACGGCGCCAGGCGGGCGGGGAGGCCCAGGGATGGGGGCGAGGGGGCTCCAGTCGTGGGGGCTGGACTCGGGGGACGCCAGGCCGGCTCCCTTTTCCCAGCCCCAGTTTACAGACTCAAGCCGTGAATTTCCCCGCCTCCCTCCCGAAGCCACGCGCCCCCTATCATGGCCCAGCCCTGCCCGTGCGCATCCCAGCTCCGGTCCCGCCTGTCTGCGGCGAGCGGGCGGGGGCGTCTCCTCGGCTCGCCCACGGGCAAGGTCAGCTTGCAGCTCCCTGGGCTCTCGGATCCGCGGGCGCGCGACCCCCGCAAGGGTAAAGCGACCGACAGGACCCCCGGGGTGGGAGTGGAGGTGCGGCCACGCTGGTGTAAACATACCTCCCTCCCCCAGCTTTTCCTTGGGAGGGGGTCAAACCTCCAGAACCGTTCCTCGCATCCCAGTGCCCTTCAGCATCCAGAGACCCGTCTGGAGAGGACTGGGCCGGCCAGGGACGGGTGGGGAGAAAGAGAGGGACGCCCAAGCCCTGAGCGCCCTGTGCTCACCCGACGCGGTTCCCTCTGCTTTCAGGTGTAGCGCCCCCGCGCGGCGCGGGCGGCTGGGCGTCTCCATCATGACCGGCCAGAGCCTGTGGGACCTGTCGGAGGCCAACGTCGAGGATGGAGAGATCCGCATCAACGTAGGAGGCTTCAAGAGGCGGCTGCGGTCGCATACGCTGCTGCGCTTCCCTGAGACGCGCCTGGGCCGCCTGCTGCTCTGCCACTCGCGTGAGGCCATTCTGGAGCTCTGCGATGACTACGACGACGTCCAGCGTGAGTTCTACTTTGACCGCAACCCCGAACTCTTCCCTTATGTCCTGCATTTCTACCACACCGGCAAACTTCACGTCATGGCCGAGCTGTGCGTCTTCTCCTTCAGCCAAGAGATCGAGTACTGGGGCATCAACGAGTTCTTCATCGACTCCTGTTGCAGCTACAGCTACCATGGCCGCAAAGTGGAGCCCGAGCAGGAGAAGTGGGATGAGCAGAGTGACCAGGAGAGCACCACATCCTCCTTCGATGAGATCCTGGCCTTCTACAACGACGCCTCCAAGTTTGACGGGCAGCCCCTGGGCAACTTCCGCAGGCAGCTGTGGCTGGCGCTGGACAACCCTGGCTACTCAGTTCTGAGCAGGGTCTTCAGCGTCCTATCTATCCTGGTGGTGTTGGGATCCATCATCACCATGTGCCTCAATAGCCTGCCAGACTTCCAAATCCCTGACAGCCAGGGCAACCCTGGCGAGGACCCCAGGTTCGAAATCGTGGAGCACTTTGGCATCGCCTGGTTCACATTTGAGCTGGTGGCCAGGTTTGCTGTGGCCCCTGACTTCCTCAAGTTTTTCAAGAATGCCCTAAACCTTATCGACCTCATGTCCATCGTCCCCTTTTACATCACTCTGGTGGTGAACCTGGTGGTGGAGAGCACACCTACCCTGGCCAACTTGGGCAGGGTGGCCCAGGTCCTGAGGCTGATGCGGATTTTCCGCATTTTAAAGCTGGCTAGGCACTCCACTGGCCTCCGCTCCCTGGGGGCCACCCTGAAATACAGCTACAAAGAAGTAGGGCTGCTTTTGCTCTACCTCTCCGTGGGAATTTCCATCTTCTCGGTAGTGGCTTACACCATCGAAAAGGAGGAGAACGAGGGCCTGGCCACAATCCCTGCCTGCTGGTGGTGGGCTACGGTCAGTATGACCACTGTGGGGTACGGGGATGTGGTCCCAGGGACCACAGCAGGGAAGCTGACTGCCTCTGCCTGCATCCTGGCAGGCATCCTAGTGGTGGTACTGCCCATCACCTTGATCTTCAATAAATTCTCCCACTTTTATCGACGCCAAAAACAACTCGAGAGTGCCATGCGCAGCTGTGACTTTGGAGATGGAATGAAGGAAGTCCCTTCCATCAATTTAAGGGACTACTATGCCCATAAAGTTAAATCCCTCATGGCAAGCCTGACAAACATGAGCAGGAGCTCACCAAGCGAACTAAGTTTAAATGATTCTCTGCATTAGCTAGGAGGACTTGTCATCCTCAAACCCACATTGCTAAGCTGTCTCTTGTGCCTCTGTCACAATCCAGGCAGCTTAGGGTTATGGCGTAAGGAGTATGCCCAGCCCCAAAGGGGAGAGATGCATGGGATATGCACCCCAGGCTGCTTTTACACTATTTAGAATCATTTTTAGAGGGTGGTGTGTCTGACACCATGCCATTGCACCTTTCAACGAAATGACACTCACTGGTCTTTGCATCATGGGCGTAAAATGTTCACCTTTCTGCCAGATGAGTACCATCCAGAATGCTAATTTTTCTGTTCATTGTGTACTCTATTCCAGTGCTCGTGGCCTAGTACTGTCTATGAGTTGTCTGTGCTCCTGTTTCTGAGGTTGTCATATGAGTTCTGTATAAAAAGCCCCCACAAGTCTGTCCAGTGGAAACACATCTATGGGGTTAGCAAGGATATGAGGAGATTTTTGTTCACAGTCATGTGAAAACAAAATCTCAGTTCTTTATCCATTGCTTTCGTTCAGTTTTAATACCCAAACAAAGAGAAGGTGAAGTTAAGCACACATGACCAGTGCAAGTCTGTGAGTTGTTTTACGAATGACCTGCAGCTCTGTGGCCTGCATGGGTGCACTGGTCACCTCTGGAACGACATCTGCTCATGTTCATCTTGTAAATGTTGCTCTTTAGAGAATGTTGCTCAGTTAAACAAGTAGTTAAGATTGAAATTTTTTTCCAAGAATAAATACATTAGGGACAGAGGCTTCAGTTAAACTTAGGCCAAATCAGAGGATGCTTGAAGATCTTCAAAGTCAGGCCTCTGTCTTTCCTAGAGTGACCATAGAGACATTTATTTCTGGCTAAGGCTCGTGGTCTAGGCCATTTGACCAAACTTTGCCATGTCTTAGATATTAGCATGTTTTTGAAACATTTATTTTTAGAGATGTTTAGGAATAAGGTCATGTTGTCTTTCTCTACTAAGAGGTTTAATGTTGTATTGTCTCCCTGAGGTGAATGTTGTTGGGTTTCTAGCAAGGGCAGTAGCTTAGAGACTTGTTTCCTGCTCTGAAAGCTTATAAAATGAGAGCCCTTTTATTTCCAAGAAGAATTGACTCGGATAATTTTGCTTCTAGGATACAGTATGTTACATGCGATGCTCTAATTGCCCTGGAGTTCCTGGTGTGACTTGGAAACCTGGTGGTATGGAAGTGTGTACTCTAAATACAGATGTACATGACAGCAGTGTGGCTTACCCAGGATGCAAATACTATCGTTCTTATTTCCGTTTTCACTGCCTTTTCTTGGGGGAGGATGGAAAGAGGGCAGGAGAAAGGAAAGACTTAGAAAATTAAAAATTGTTACTTCATAAAATGTCCTAGATAATTGTAAACTTCTTGAAAAGCTTAATGCTATTGAAAAGACCTTTAAACTTCTAAACTTGTGTTGAAGGTTAAGAACTCTAGCCTTCTCCAAAATGCTCTCTCCCCTCTTCTCCAGTTAACTAGCACATTGTGAAGGGAATCCTGGGCCGCTTTGGAAGATTATTCTTCTCCAGTATCTTCTAGGTAATTCAGATGGTTTTCCGGTTGGCTTCCATTATTGTTCAGTCCTTGGAAAGGCTGTAGAATTCAGGAGTCTCAGGGTGGAGTTAAGCAGGCTTTTTATCCAAGGCTTGGACTTTCCCTAAAGAGGTCCATTTTGTGTTTTAGTTGTTGAGGCTAATACATACTTCATGGGGGTGTGGTAAGGGTCTGTCACAGGCTTCGTATACTTGTACTTACCATGGCTACCACAGAGCAGGCAACTAGTTGTATGAATGTACTAGTCACTTATGCCCTTGAGTCCTCAGTTCAAATCCCTCCATTAAACTGGAGCCTCTTGGAGGCAGGGAGGCAGCCACCTCCTAGTGCCTGATAGTCTGCCATCTATGTCTGTTTCTCAGAAGCATCTGGAAAGATGAGATGACTTCGGGGCACCAGCCACTAAGTCAGAAGAGCAGGGTTATTTTTCAGAATTTGCACATGGAGCACTTGGCTTTGGCTGATGTTTCCAGTGCTGGAAGACAGCGAATTTATGAAATTATCCCCAGCTGCACAGAAGGCCAGAGATGGTACAAACTTGAGGACTGTTCAGTTTGCCAAGGGTGATGGCGTTGGGTCACTGAGCAGGGTTTCCGTGGTCACTGACCCTAAAGTTTGTGAAAAGTGGAAAGAAGGAAAGAGGCAGAATAAGTCAGTCACTCTCATGAGTATTTTTCTAAACAAGCAGGTTTTACTACCACAAAAAGAGACACCCCTGTGGTTACTCTTTGCAGATGTGAAAGCCAGAAAACTTGACTTTTCATTTTGGTAATGACTTGCATTTATCTGGTGCCTTCCATTGGGGGAATCCCAAAGTGCTTTAGAGACTGTCTTTTTAACATCTTTTGTACATATATAGACTTGTATAAAATATTACTTTGCTCATCTGGAATTTCACTCATTTCTGAGCATGAGAATGTCCTAATAGCATTAAGTTTTCCAAGTGTGGTTTCAGATAAGAGAGACAGAAACCGAGCTGGCTTGAACACTGGAGTTAATTCTCACAACGGATGGAGACTAAACTGTGACCCAGGGAGAAATAAGCTTCCTCTCCCCCAGAGTACTACCCCGGTGTGAAGTTCACAAATGCTCTCAATGGGGCTTTGATTGACCTTGCTAAATAACGTCTTATGTAGCAGTTTCTTCTAGTCCCTGAAGCTAACTGGGGAGGGTCAGCTTAATTTTCTGCTCTGTTTCTGGAGTTAAGAATATAAATATGAGGTGACATCTTTGGCCACCAGGCTATCAGACTGACCCATAATCCTCCTTTAAGGGGACACAGTAGAAGCTTCAGATCACTTATTTCCAGCTGTTAGCTTGAGAGCAGCTTCACTCCCAACATCTGAAAGTTGTTATTTTCAATGCCATTGGGACAGATATATGGGCCAGGGTTTTCTCACAATATATGTGATGAGCATTTTAAAAGTGCTGGCTGGGAAGGGACACTATGTCTTTATTGCATAGATGCATATTGGTTATAGGTTTGTGTTTTCTGCCAAACCCCCACATTTCCTGGGTTTGCTACTGAGGAGGGGCATGTTGTAATGCCGAGCCAATTTGTAGCTCCTAAGGTAGTAATTGGTATTCAATGTTTGGATTTGTTATTTCTTCTTATCTTACTCAAACAATTGAACTACCTGCTAATTCTCACCTCATTTCAAAGAAAATGATTTGTTATGCACTTTGGGACACCAGTGATCTGTACAGGCTGTGTGTTATCTACTTGAGGGCTTAACTGGTATTTCTTGTTGTTTTAACAGCATGATTGTTTCAGAGTTGTAATTTTAAAAATTGAGAACGCTGTATTTGCGACGTCAGTTTTAACACTCATTAACACACTACTGTGCGAGCATTGATACAGGCCCCGCCGAACCATTGTGTCTGATGGCTGCACCCTGGTCTCCGCGCCTCGACTCGGGAATGAGCAGTAGCACTGACATGCTCCAGACTCCAGCCTCAAAGCATATGCAGATTAAATAGAAAAACTTTATTTATGCTTCCTGAAGTGCCTCAATTACATATAGAGTGGCAAACACATCAAGGGCATTCAAAGTTGGGGACCGATTCTCTGAGAAAGGCTGGGCTTTTTGAGCATTTGTTGGGAAGGAAGAGCTGTTACTTGTTCTTTACAGGCATGTAGAGGTGGGACCCCGTTTTCACCAGGATCTAAAGCCCCCAGCCTGCTTTGTAGAAGGTTATTTATTCTTGAAGCCCTCGTGAAACAGACACCCTTGTAGGGTTTTCCCCTTCCACACCGTCTTGCTCAGCACCTCTGATGGGCCTATCAGTGCCGACCCCACCCCACCAGGGCCATTCTTGCTGCTGCCACATTACCACCCTGACCGTAAATTGGGTACTGGGTAACCTGAGTGTCCTGGCTGGTTTGGTGTGAATATTACTGAGGGACACGTAGAACCAATCCTCAGCTCTTCCTTACCCAGTGGTGACTTACACTCTGAGCCTTCTGCAGGCCACAGTGAATCTGCAGAAGGTCATTGGGCTCCCTGGGCTCTGCTCCTGATTTTGCATTCAACTCTGTCATCTTTAGGTGCATCACTGGGCCTCTCTGAGACTCACAAACCTCTGCTGCAAAATGAGAAGTTTGGATTAGAACACCCCTAAAGCCCTTCCCGGTTCTTCATCTCAATGTAAACAGAATCTCTCCGTGCCCCTCTGCGTCCTCATTATGGCAGTGAGCAGATCCCGAAACTCTTAACTTACTTTTAAGCAGAGCGGAGGGACTGCTCACAAACAACCTTCTATTTGTTTTCATTTCTCTCTTCAACAGCCAACCACAACAGAAGACAGTTTTAGGGACAATGATACTAGAGAAATGCTTGGGCTGGCGCCTGTGCCAGGTGAGTAGAGTTTGAAAATAATCAACAAGCGTCTCCTTTGGGCTTTAAGTGGTTCACGTGTAATCCAAATTCCTGCTGTTAAAAATCATTAGAGAAGAAAATCACACTGATCCCATTTGGCTTCAGGGCTAACTCTTCGCCGTTTATGTCTATGCCCTTTGTAAAGCCTGGCAGATCCCCCGTCCCTGTTCCCGTGAGGCTATTGAGCCCCACCTGGGACCCTAAATGTACAAGGGCAGATGAATCTCCCATCCTGCACTTAATTCTCACTGAGGTGTCCTCTTCTGTGTAACCTGCAGAAGGGTGTGGTGACATGTTAACCTTGTCCCCTAGTCCCACGGCAGCCGAGGAAGGGCGTGGCAGGACTGACATGCAGCCCTGAGAAGGCACTCGAAGTTACCATGGTCCTTGCCTTCCCTCCAGGTGGGGTGGAGCACATCTCCTCCCTCCAGCTGGGGTATAAATGGCTGTTCAGGGATATTTTGGGGCCAGGATGCCTTGCACCTTAAAAGGAAAAGCAAACACCTCCTCTTGAGGGAAGAACTTAAACGCACATGCTTATTATCTCCTCTTATTTTTAGGAGAACTTTGAACTAGCATTTCTACCCAAGGACCTTAGCTAGGTGTTATATCCAATTGATACTGTAGATCTGAAAATCTGCAACATTTTCCTCCTTCTGTGACCTCATTTATCACTATCACCATCCTCCTGGCTAAATTCTCTGAAGCACACGACTGTGTCTGCAGGTGACAAACTGATGCTTTCAGAAGGATGTAGACACAAAGAAGGCCTCAAAGACCTGGCCCAGGGGCAAAATACAACAGAGGAGGAAAAAAAGGCAGATGGGCCAAGAAGCTGGTGCCAGTTCCTACAGAAGGAAAAAGGAATAGGGAGAAACCAGGAAAAAGGAAACGCAAAAGAGGAAAGAGGAAATAAAAGAAAAGGCAGAGAGGAATGAGGGGAAAGAGAGAAGACTAAATTAGGGAGAACAGGCGAGGATATGCTTACTGAAGTTATTTTAGGCCTTCCATTGAATTCATTTATTTCCGGTCAATATAGCATGCTCCTAGCCCACCAGGGAGGTGATCAGTGCTGGAGTCAGTTTGCACCCCTCTCCACCTGGCATCTCTTCTCTCCTCCTCCAACAAAGCGGCTCATAGTCTGGTAGAATACAGATGTGGAAATAACTAAGCCTTTTTGATGAAGAGGGCAGTGAGGACACAAGGAAAGGAGGGGGAAATGTTTCCTCCTGAAGATGGGACTTCTGGGTTGCAAACAGAAAAGGATCAAGTGTTGGCCAGACAGGTGGTGGGAGCCAGGAATGGAGAGATAGAGGGGAGGCAAAGGGAAGAAGGTTTCATGAACAGGGACCGATACAAGCAAAGACAAGGAGGCCAGCGTATGTGAGACATGTAAGTCAGCATGGCTGAAAAGAAGTATGGTATAAAAACAGCCCAGAGAAAAGCCATCAAAAGAGCTTGAGCTTCATTCTTTTGTCCCTGGGATGGGATGTCCTGACCAGATTAATGCTGCCAGCCCATGACTCTGACAGCAGCTGGAAGATGTGGGAGGGGCCAGGAGATCTGTCTGAGGTCACTCCCACAGTGCAGGTCAGATAGCAAGGGAATGGGCTGGAGAGGAAGGGGCAGAACAGGTTGCCAAGAAGGTTGACTCTATAGGACTCTGTCAACGACCAGATGTGGGTTTGAGAGAGAGGGAGCACTGGGACGGCTTCTGGCTTGGCTGGTGACTGGGTGGATGGGTGGATGGTGGTGCCACCAAGAGAAACAAAGAAATGCTTAGGTCCCTGCCCAAGGTTGAGTCGTGTTGCCTCAGTGCCTGGGGGATGCACAGCTGAAGGTGTGGGGAGGGCAGAGGGAAGCCTGGAATGGGAGTCATCAGCTGAGAGATGGAAGTTGAGACCATGGGTGAGATGGCCCAGGAAGGGTACAGAGAGAAACAGAAGAAAAGGAAGGTGGAATCCTGTGGAAGACCAGCAACTGAGGGGTAGCCCCCTAGGGATGATTGTGGTCCAAGGCCTTTCCTTTCCCTGTTGGCCCATTGCAGCTATCATCCCACCTCTCTCCTTTCTCCTGAGAAATTCCTGATGGGTGATCTCTGCTGGTGGCCTCGGCTTTCCTCTTCATCCATTTCCTTATTTTACCTCTGTGATCGGCTCCTGTCCCTACCACTCTTTTCAAGCTGCTCTCTTAAAGATCACCAGTGCTTTCCTAATGGCTAAATTTAATGGCCCTTCCTCAGTTCTCAAGCTCCCCCAAATGCTTTGACCCCATAGGCCAACCTCTGAGTTCTTCGCACTCCTTCCTCTCTGGTTTTTGGACACTGCACATTGCTGGTTCTCCTGTGGGCTCTGCCTCTCCTTCTCATATCCCCACTGGGTCTTTGTCCTCCTTCTGACCCTCTTCATCATGCATTTCCTCCAGACTTCTGTCCTTAGCAGGCTGCAGTGCTCTCTGCCCAAGCAAGAGCCTCAACCAGTGTGCAGATGACTCCATGTCTCCTTGCCTGACCTCATCTCACTCCTGGGGCCCATGCACATGTTACCCATGTGCACTTGGAAGTCACCATGTCTAAAACTAGACTTATACCTTCCCTCCAAGTTTGCTCCTGCTGCTGCCTTCTCCCTCACTTCTGTTACTGGAACCATAGTGTTGTCAGCCACCCAGGTTGGAATTTCAGTCATCTTTGAATCCTCCCCACTTATTTAGCCATTTATTCACCAAAGCAGTCATTTCTTCACAGCTGACTAATTGCCAAGCACCCTAGTAGATGTAAGGGAAATAAATGTAAAGGGTATTGTTCACGGCCCTTAAGCAGCACAGACTTTATGGCCATTTTATTGTGCATTGAAATCATCTGGGGAGATCTTAACACTGTAGATTTCTGGGCATCACTCCATCAACAAAATCAGACTCCTGCAGGTGGGCCCCAGGAATTTGCACTGTTAAAAAGCTCCCAGGTGATTTTAAGACAAGTGGTTTTCAGACCCCACCTGGAGAAACATATTCCTGGGGATACCCTTTACAGTCCTCTTGCTCTCTCTCATTCCCGCACCCAATCGGACACCAGGTTCTATAATTGCTTTCTGCACAGGATCTTGCATGTTGGTCCCTTTGTATCCATTCTAAAGGCTCCCACCCCACTTCAGTCCTTGTTAACTCATGTTTTACTAATTTCCAAAAGACTCGTGTCCAGCCTCTCCCTCTCCAATCTATCTTTTTCTGCAACCCTCTACCAGGCTCATCTTTCTCCTTCCTGTTTCTTAGACCTACTGGTGCTTGTGTTGATAGAACTGCAGATATGAAGAGTCACAGCTGAGGAAGTAAGAAATTTGCATGGGCCCAATAAGGCTAAAGGCAGAGAAAGGGCCCGTTTAGGAAGGGGTTGCCTTTCAATGGGGCAACTAGGGGCAGGTGATAGGGACATAAGAGATTTGTAACAAGGGACACACAATGTTGATAGCATGAAGGGCCTGAATGTTGGATGACCAGGCTCACCAACTGTCCAGGGGGTACCAATCCTCAGTCCTGGACTAATGGTCTCTCAAAGACACTTGGGAGTTATCCCTGGAAATCCAGGGATGTGGTATGAGGCAAGCAGACTGGGGGAATATAGTAGAAACAGAATTGGGGTTCTCAGGGAGGTTTTTTCCACTCAAAACCCTTTCCATCGCCTACATCTCCAGACATTTAAAGAATTCTGAGCTATTTTCAGACCTACTATGAAAAGAATTGAGGTGTTATCAGTCAGACACCCATCTAAACCATTTCCTAAGAGGAGAGCTGGCATGACTCACTCTCGATCTGTCAGCTTCATATTGATTTTTCTGGCAAACTTTGTGGGTCTGCCAGGGTCTGCGAGGGAGCAGCTGAATTGTAATCCACTGTGTTCAGGGTCAGTTATTACAAAAGCCACCATCACAGGGTCGTAGCCCGCATTTCTCTTGGTGGAACCTGTGGGAGGAGAGGAGGGGAACTGTAACGCACAAGCGCAGGGGTGTCCAGGGGCTTCCCGCTGCTTGCTAAAGAGAAGCCCGACAGCTCTTTTCCCCGATTTGAGATTCCAGGACTGCTTTTGGAAAGAGGTGCTGACGGGAACCATCGGAGCCCC